TTGGCAGGTTGCCGATTTACAACTACGCTGAAACCCCACATTCAGTCCAATGTGTGTTTCTGCGGGATGGTCAACTAATGGCCTGAGAATCAGGCGGTACTAGCTCCTTCTTGATGTGACCTTTGTCACCCTAACACAGGTGAGATAGGAACCACTCAAACCTGGAAGCTCAGAGCAGCCAAGCAAGGGAGGTAGTGTGTTATTAGTTCCAGGGGTAGGGGACTGGATGAGGGGCAGTGCTGTTTGCGCCTATCGGTAACTTGGCCCAACCTGGTGACATGAAACTATGGTATCGAGGAAAGGTTTAATGCTGGCTGGCTAAATTGTTCTACTGGATGTAAACAGAAGTTATCAGCCAGGAGCACAATTCAACACTGGATTGCGGATGGAATGGGTATGGCATCGTCTGCAGGCGTTCTTTCTTGATTCGGCAACAAGATCGATTGTGGAGAATGCATACTGGGCGTCTAAAAATAGAATCGAGGTGAGATAGACTTGTTGGCTCTTGCCCATACAAGAAAGGTCGCGAGTTTTTAGAAGCCATCAACTCCGACGACCCGTGCATCAACAGGCACATCGAATCGGGAGCGATGTACACCAACCTCGGGGAAGCATGAAAGAGACGACAGCATATCCGAACTAGAGGAAGCGAAAACCAGCCACCACTGACCGCACGATTAATTGCGGTTGACAATTAGTTCCCGACCGACCGCATAATTACATGCGGGGGACAACTATTTTCTCCCGCTGACTGCAAAATCACATGTGGGTGACGACTATGGACTATTACCTTATCCATTATATAAGCTTCTGTTAGCCATCATTTTGAATTAACTGTTTCGTACAAGCTCCATCCGTCTGACGACGACGTGGTGTGCCAGCGTCGAAAATTTACACAATAAACCACTGGTTCCCAAAGAACTCTTTCTACCGGATCCTTATCACTTTTCTTTGGAAATCCGCACATAGGGCAAAATACTTAGTTGTTGAAAGGACCGGTAAACAATATAATTTTTCAGCTCCTTATTCGTCCACATTTTTTCCATCGAAAATAGTCGTACCAAATTCCCCACAAAATAAATAGGGCTCCTTATTTTCTGAAATTAAAATAATAAATCTCCTCGTTGGTGGATGAACGCTCACCGAACGGCTACGGAACTCATTCATTCTGTTGTGCTGTGAGGCTCACTCTCGAGCCACGCTAGCAGCTGCACAGCGGCTGGTGTTATACACAAAAGAAAGTTAATTACAGGGGTCAAGGGAGACTGGTATAGACAGTTCTGGATCATTAGCCGTCACCAGCCAGCCACACCCAGCCCCAGATGATGCACCACCCGAGGCTCAAACCTACGACTGTTGATTAGAAATCACATGCTGTAATACTTGATCCACGGGCTCATTGTCTTACCGGTTTATATCCGAAAAATTAACATTGCAGGATGAACGCTTACTGTAAGAGATTATAGCAATTCATATAACTTACTATGCCCGTTTCACCACATTTCAGCGCTTGGATACGAGGCTAATGGACATTGACAGACAGAACCCAGCTTACACCCTATTACCAGAGTCCCCCGATTTGACGGATCCGGCCCCTGAGAATGCTGTGAGCCCAGTATCCGAACCCCAGCCTCCCAAGTCAACCAAAAC